TAGCATTCCTATTACCTCAAAATTCATTCCGTGAACCAAACGTGCTGTAAGTATTTTTGCTCAGCACCATGGTACAGTTGAAGAAGGCCAACTCAGCAAAGCAAGGTTAGTTATGTCATGGATCGGGGTCTACCTTGCAAGGTGGATCAGGACTATATTCTCAATTTTTGAACTTTATATTCACAATTTTAGAACGGCATATTCACAATCAATATTGAAAACAACTCAGCGAGTAAATATTCAGTTCTTTAATTGTGAATTTAGAGTTAAAAAATTGTGAATATAGAGTTCTAAATTATGAATATGGAGTTCAAAAATTATGAATATAGAGTTATGCAATTATGAATATTGAGTTCTGTAATTTTGTGTATTGCGATCTAAAATTATAAATATTCAATTCTAATATTATGAATATAGAGTTCAAAAATTGTGAACACAACCCGGATTCACGCTGGTCCACAACATAATTTGCCAGAAAGTGGCCGGTGATAGGATTTGGCCGTTGTTATGCTAGATAATGAAGAGATATACATTTGCTTAAGTAATTTAATTTCATTTTCACAATATTTTAAAATTAATAAAAGTTTGTAAGACAACTTCACATAAACATGCATGTCCTAAATCCTAATTGGGGTGGACCCACTTTTTTTTTTTTTTTTTGAATACTACTAACTCTATTACATCGTAGTATCTGTCCTACTGAAACACAAAAAGCTAATAATAGCTCCACTGAGGCTCGAACTCACAACCTTCCAAATAGAAGTCCAACTTAGGTACCATTGGACCACATAGTCCTGGTGGGTAGACCCACTTAATTAGTTTGAGTATTGTAATTTGTAAACACTGTTTCGATTAAATATGTCACACACAGTTTTGTTATTACAGCTTATTTATGATGTGTAATTATCGAATTATTATACAAAAACATTATTTATTGAATTAATATTAGGAGTTTTTTCCACTTTTGGTCCCTCGACTTCACATGTGGTGACAAATGGGATTCACGACTTTTATTCCGGACATAATAGGTGCTCAACTTCAATTTTTTTTCCACATTTGGTCCTATCCGGCCAAGAACCCGGCCAACCCACCGGAATTAGACCCAACCCTTATTATGGCAAGGGTATTCTAGTCATTTCTAACCCATGAATATTGATTAAATAAAAGATTTATTCCGTATTTACACCTCATTTCTCGTCTATCTCTGTTCGAAGCTAAGTGTGCGAAGAAGGAAGAACAAAAACCCATGACTGTAAAATCGTTCGTTGAAGCTGTAAAATCGTTCAGCGCGAAACACAAAAACACAAGCTGTAAAATCGTTCGTTGAAGCGGCGGATATGGCTTCTCATCATCGAAGCTGTTCTTCATCGGATTGGGCATCACATGGTAAGTACACTGGCAAAAAGTTAAATTAGTTGCTTTTTTTGGAATGTTGAGGATGCTTTTATGCAGTTAGGGGAGCATATTGATAAAGTTGAATACTTTAGTATATATTAGGGTTTCATTGGGACCCATGACTGTATATATTTTAGGGTTTAGCTTGGACCCATATCTGTATAAATTAGGGTTTAGTTGGGACCCAGTTCGACCATTTGGGGACCATTTTTACTTTTTCATTTGTTTATTTCATCTGCAAATGTGAATACCATTTCTTATACACTTTATGTATATTCTGTGGGGACCATTTTTGTTGTTTTACCACTTGCATTTGTGATATCACTGCTCCGAATTTGTGTATGAATTTGATTTGATTTTGTATTGTAAATATTTGTCTTTGAAGGTGAAAGTGTTGAATATGACAGTGACACTGAGGGCAGTGAGTATAATGAACTAAGTGCTGATGATGACAATGTTCAAAATAAGGATGACATAGAGTTTGATGAACATATAGATTATGGAGTTGAAGATAGTGGTTTAATAAATAACTTAGAAAACGAGGTGGGCAGTAAGGCTTTGCAAAGTGATATATTTGACCCTAACCTGTCTGATGATGCTTCAATTATGGAATCAGATAGTGATTGTGAGATAAGTGGTGGATTATGGACTAATTTTAGGGCAAGTACAGATATGAATGATCCTGAATTCACTCTAGGAATGACATTTGCCTCTAAGCAAGAGTTTAAAGAAGCTGTTCATAACTATGCCATTAAAAATGGAAAAGATCTGAAGTTTGTGAAGAATGACAAATATAGATTCATTGTAGAATGTAAACAAGAGGGTTGTCCTTTCAAAATAAGTCTTAGAAAAGTTATAAACTCTTTGTCATGGAGGATTTTAACGATGGAGCAAAAGCATGATGGATGTTCATGGGCTTTCGATAACAGAATGATGAATTCAACTAAAATAGCCAAGAGGTGGAGCAAGGAAATCAATTATAATCCTGATTGGAAGATGTTAAAGTTTAAAGAAAAAGTTCATGATGATGACAAGTACAATATGAGTGAGAGGCAGACCTATAGAGTGCTTGCTAAGGCTAAAACTATTCTGAAAGGAAATGAAGAAGAGAACTTTAATAAACTTTGGAGTTATGAGCTGGAAATTAAAAGAACAAATCCAATGTCACGTTGTTTTGTTAAATTGAGTGACTTGAAAGAAATGAATGGGGATTCACGATTTCTTAGGTTCTACATGTGTTGGGATGCATGCAAAAAAGGCTTCAAATATTGCAGGAAAATAATTGGAATTGATGGGACTCACTTAAGGACAATTACTGGAGGTGTGTTGCTCACTGCTATAGGGATTGACTCTAATGATAGCATTTTTCCATTGTGTTATGCTATAGTTGAGAAAGAAACTTTACAATCCTGGACATGGTTTCTAGAGTTTATGAAAACTGACTTGGATATTACTGCTTGGAATGAGGATGAATTCACAATAATTTCAGATAAACAGAAGGGTTTAATTCAAGCTTGCAAGGATATTTTACCTAAAGTGGAGCACAGGTTCTGTGTAAGACACCTTCATGGTAATATGAAGGTTGCAGGGTTCCAAGGAAAATCACTTAAGGATGCATTATGGTCTTGTGCAAGAGCATACACTGTCACTGATTTCAATAGAGGGTTTAGACGTTTGAAGGAGTTAGATGTGAATGCATTTGAGTGGTTAGCAGATAAACATCCTAAAGAATGGTTAAGATCACATTTCTCATGTGCATCACAGAGTGATATGTTGGTTAATAACATATGTGAATGTTTTAACAGTGTGATATCTGAAGCAAGACAACAACCCATTATTGGCTGCCTAGAAAACATCAGGAAATTGTTAATGAAGAAACTGTATGAGAAGAGAGAGGCTGCAAAAAAATGGACTCAGAATATCTGCCCTAGGATCTTGGACAAGTTAGCTGTGATAGAAAAACAAGCTGCAAGTTACAGGGCAACTCAGAGTGATTATCATCTGTTTGAAATCCAAGGAATGTATGGGGACCAGCAAGAGGTTGATTTGCAAAGAAAAAGATGTTCTTGCAGGAAATGGGATTTAACTGGAATCCCATGTAAGCATGTTGTTTGTGCTATTTGGCTAAAGAAAGGTGTAGTTCATGATTATATTGACAAATGTTATTCAAGGGACACTTACCTGAAAATATATGAGGGATACATACATCCAATGGCAGGGGCTACACATTGGCCATTAACTGACAGAAAACCTCCCCTTCCTCCACTATACACTGCTAGGCCAGGTAGACCACAGAAATGCAGGAAAAGATCAGCTGGTGAGCTCACCAAGGATGGGGTATCAGTTGCTCAAAATCAGCTCACCAAGGATGGGGTATCAGTTGCTAAGAATCAGCTCACCAAGGATGGTTTATCTGTTGCTAGGAGTCATATTCAGTTGCATTGTAGCATATGTAGGAAGAGTGGTCATAATTGCAGGAGTTGTCCAGACAAGACAATGAGAACCCATAAACAGGTATTTCTATATTCTCCTGAAATTTTACTCAAGTCAATTCCATAAACTAACTTAATTTTTTTGTAATTTTTTTTTTTTTTTTTGGTTTTAGATGAAGCCAAGGAAAAGAGTGATCAAGCCTATTTCTGTACCAGTATCAATTCCAGTTCTTGAAGATCCAGTTGTTGTTCCAGTTCATGAAGATCCAGTTGATGTTGATGTTCCAGTTCCACTTGAAGATCCAACTGAAGTTCCATCACCACTTGAAGTTGATGTTGATGTTCCAGTTCCACTAGAAGATCCAACTGAAGTTCCAGTTCCACTTGAAGATCCAACTGAAGTTGATGTTCCACTTGAAGATCCAGTTTATGTTCCAGTTTTTGAGGAGGGAAATAACATTGGGTTATTTAACATTCCAGTTGAGCCACTGAATGAGCAAGAAATACTGACTCAAGAAGATCTTGATTTCTATAATCATTTTGATTTCTCAACACCATTTGAAGACCAGCCTGTTCCACATCAAGACCAACCTGTTCCAGCTAAAGACCAACATGTTCCAGATGAAGGTTGTTCTGGGCAACCACAAAAGAAGAAGGGCAAGGGAAAGGACAATGCCAAGAAACAAAAACAGCTTAAGAACAGAGGTATTGCAGGAAGGACAAGGGCTTCCAAGACTTTCAAATCTCTGTTCTTTGGAAACTCTGATGATCCATTAACCATTGACTAAATACCTAGCTTTGAAGTTATATGTATGGGAACTACTGTTTTTTGGGAACTTAGATTTTGGCTAGCAATTGAAACAATATGTCAATTGAAACTGGTCAAATGTTTGGTAATATAATCTCTTTTGGTATTTCATTTTGGTAGTATGTCAAACTGATTACGATCATGATATATTCAACTTGTATTTTGCCCAAAAATATTAATGAAATCATCATTTTGGTAGTATGTCAATCCAGATTTGTTAGTTATTGGTTAATTGCATCTGCCCATTATTATTCATTAACTGTGTGTTCACTCCAAATCCCTCATCAGTCCCCATTCCATCTACCTCATTCACATATTAACACAGAAATTAAAAACTGAATGAAGAATTTAACTGCACAGCAAACTAATACAAACAACTTGAATTCCAACAAAGCAAACATTTGGTTCAATCTTAAATGCCCAACATACTACATTAACTGCTTTAAATCCACTAACCTACTGTCAGTGTTACAAATAAGTAGGATTACAACGATAGCTACAAACATTATAAGTACATGAATCTTCCACTGTATTGGCATTGGCTCATCACGGAGTAACTGGACTTTACTTTTTTCTTTAGCTTTCAACTTCTCCTGCTGCAACTTTTGAATCTGTTCTTCATGTTTATTTATCTTCCTTAGCAAACCTGGGATTATTTTCTTCGATCTCTTACACATGGGAGGGTCGAACCATTCCATTGAGCTACACCTAGCCATTGGGCATTGCCAAAACCTTCTCCCAGGATTTTCGTTCGTCCAGGAAGTTCGCAACTTCATTTGATACCCACAACGACAATGTATTACAGGAATCCATTCACCATATTCATAGTACATACCGGTCGAGTTAGATGTTGAAGAATTTGCATTCATCTTGCACGCCACACCTTCTTCGAACAAAGACAATCGAACGGGTAGGGCTTTTTTTTCTTCCTTCTTCGCACACCTTCGCTACGAACAGAGATAGACGAGAAATGAGGTGTAAATACGGAGTAAATCTTTTATTTAATCAATATTCATGGGTTAGAAATGACTAGAATACCCTTGCCATAATAAGGGTTGGGTCTAATTCCGGTGGGTTGGCCGGGTTCTTGGCCGGATAGGACCAAATGTGGAAAAAAAATTGAAGTTGAGCACCTATTATGTCCGGAATAAAAGTCGTGAATCCCATTTGTCACCACATGTGAAGTCGAGGGACCAAAAGTGGAAAAAACTCTTAATATCAGCCAAGGTTCCTCGAGTATAGTGGTTCCGCAACTTTTGGTCCTAAACTTTCAAATCAACCCTTTTTGGTCCTTTAAGTTTCAAAAATAACCTACAATAGTCCTGCCGTTAGTATTTTTCGTCTGAGCCGTGAAATGCGAGAGCATTTTAGACCGTTCACAATTTTCTGACCAGATTAATTCATTTCACGTTCAAAAATTGAAATTGAAACAATTCTTACCCCTAATCTCCACTTTCCGGCGCTTGCTTCGTCTCTAGCGGCTTGAATTCCGATTCCACCTTCATCGGCTCCGATGTTGGATCTGATTGTGAATTGATTGAACTGCTCAAACCATATAACAAAGAGCCACCATCATTTTGAACTGGTATTTTCTTGAAATTTGGGGAAGAAGAAACCTTCGCCTTCATCGTATGATCCATCTCAGTTTTAGTAGAAGCCGATGACGGGCTGCTTCGAACACTAGCAAAAAAAGGAGCTTTCGACGAGGAATTCAGCACCGAAGAAAAAATCGCCGGCGACAAAGAGCCGGAAACTGGCGATGAGACACGGGTTTAGTATCGCCACAGGATCTGTTGTTTACTTCTCTGGTATCGTTCGATGCAATTTCTTTCTTCAAAAGAGCTTGCGACTGAGTCATCAACCCATACAAAACCTCCGCAATCTTAATCTCTAGCTCCTCAGGGTTGTTGGAAGATGTCGATGTGGACGACGATCTCGGCAGTGGCCTCTACTTCGACCCATTAGCCTTCTACATCAACAAAAACACGTGTCACTCAAAAAACACTCACAATTCCGAGAAGATAAAGAAAACAACTGAAGGACTAACAACCAAAACAAAGAACCCACAATAAATGCCTTTCCTGGAACTCCATCGCTGACGGAGAAAGAGCGTGCGAGGGACATCATGTAGAACCACTCCGCATCGGTGATGAGATCGCCGTTCTCCAAGTTCTGGGTGCCGATGAGGGCTTGGATTCCACTGATAACTTTCTTCCTCTCCAACTGCTGGGTAGAGTGAGAGGTTTGGACGACGGGGATTGGGTAACTTTCTTCCTCTGCCGGCCTTTGTCCTCTGGAAAAAAGCCGTCTCCCCAGGCCAAGAAAATAGTGTAAGCCTAGCTGTCGGTCTGGGTTTTGGGGATGAATTGAAGCCTCTGCTGAAGGGTTGAGAGATTGGGTTAAGAAAGAAACGACATGAAGACGATGAAGATGATGTGACAATTCATTTTGGGTGAGAAAATTGTGAAAGGTCTAAAATACCCTCGCATTTTACGGCTCAGACGGGAAATACTAACGCTAGGACTATTGTAGGTCATTTTTGAAAATTGAAGGACCAAAAAGGGTTGATTTGAAAATTTAGGACCATAGGTGGTGGAACCACTATACTTGAGGGACCTTGGCTGGTATTAACTCTTATTTATTTCTTGTAAACTGTAGTTTGCGAATTTCCGTTAAATAAAAAATCTGGGAGAGTAGTTACTCGCAAATTATGCTGTGGACACGAGTCCAAAACGACGTCATTTTCATAAAAACGCAGCATTTCAGTTAAAAAAAATTGATTTGTCTCGCCGTTAACGGCGTTATTCGTTTGTGGAATTATGAATGTACAGTTATGGAATTATGAATGTACAGTTATGGAATTATGAATGTAAGTTATGGAATTATGAACACAGAGCTCTAACATTATGAACATATAGTGATAAAATTATGAACATAGAGCTCTAAAATTGTGAACAGAGCTTAGGAAATTATGAATGTACAGTTAGGAAATTATGAATGTACAGTCATATAATTATGAATGTACAATTATGGAATTATGAATGTACAGTTATGGAAGTATGAATATACAGTTATGCAATTATGAATGTACAGTTATAGTATTATGAACACAGAACTCTGACATTATGAACTTACAATTATGAACATATAGTAATAAAATTAGAACAAATTGCACTTTTGGTCCTGTGAGTATTAGGGTACTGGCAATTTGAGTACGTGACTTTCAAAACTCCCAATTTAAACCTTCAACTATGCATTTTTTGGCATATTTGGTCCTCAGGACCAAATTGCCGGCCAATTTTGGCCGGAAAATGATTTAATGGTTCGAATTATTTTGTGATGAGGGTAAAAACATCATTTCACTCCCTTCTTCTTCATTCTCCCTTTCTTCTTCGTTCTTCTTCTTCTTCACCGCATTATGGCCAAATGGAATCATATTAATGGCCAAATGGAATCAACGCATTCAACTACCCAATTGATCGTATTGAAATGCAATACTTGTCGTCTTTTAATTGTTCGATCATTTGGCCATAATGCGGTGAAGAAGAAGAAGAACGAAGAAAGTTGTTCGATCACCGGCCGAAGAAGAAAGTTCTACGTCTTTTAATTGTTCGATCACCGGCCGGCGCCTCATCCTCCTCGCTGGTGTAGTCCTCGTGCTTGGGCACCGGAGCGATCAATCTCCGGTCATCGTCGGCACTAACATGGTTCTTCTGGCTACTATCATCATGGTCGAACGTGGAACAAAACATCCTAAAAGACATCGAAAAAGACGGCGAGAGATGCAGTATCTGCAGGCGGCGATCTCGGAGGCAATGAGGCTGTACCCGCCGGTGCCGGTGGACACGAAGGCCTGCCTGAAAGATGACGTCATGCTGGACGGCACGTTCATCGGAAAAGGGTGGTTCGCGACGTATCACACGTACGCCATGGGGAGAATGGAGAAGATTTGGGGAAAAGATTGTTGCGAGTACAAGCCGGAGAGGTGGTTGGACGAGAATGGGGGTACAGGCAGGAAAGTCCGTTCCGGTTTCCGGTGTTCCACGGCGGGCCGAGAATGTGTCTGGGGAAGGAAATGGTGTTCAGATGAAATCCATTGCGGCTTCGATTCTGGAGAGGTTTGAGATTGATGTGTTGTCGGAGGAGAAGGGAAAGGTTCCTGATTTTGTGTTGTCTTTGACTCTTAGGATGAAGGGTGGGTTGCTTGTGAAGGTTAAGGATGAAGAAGAAGAAGAACGAAGAAGAAGAAGAACGAAGAAGAAATGGAGAAGAAGAAGGGAGTGAAATGACGTTTTTACCATCATCACAAAATAATTCGAACCATTAAATCATTTTCCGGCCAAAATTGGCCGACAATTTGGTCCGGAGGATCAAATCTGCCAAAAAATGCATAGTTAAAGGTTTAAATTGAAAGTTTTGAAAGTCACGTACTCAAATTGCCAGTACCCTAATACTCACAGGATCAAAAGTGCAATTTATTCATAAAATTATGAACATATGGTCCTATAACAAAACGGTCTGAAGTTAAAAAAAAAAAAAACGATGAAAGATAACCTGTCCACGATGCATGTTGGACACACGGGTCCATAGCATAACGATTGGTAGTTACTAATGTAATGATAGATTTCTATTGGAATTCTCGAGAACTTTCTAGACTTTTCTGTCCCACAAAATCTCCTACGCGTCTGTAATTCACAGTACCCAAACGTTTAGAAACTTCTCTCTGAAAATATCCCATCCCCTTTTTTCGAGAACTTTCTTCTCCACCACCCTAAATATCCATTCAACACTCAAAATCTCCATAAATAGCAAAAAACCCTTTCCTTAAACAGCCCGAAATCTCCATAAATAGCTTAAACAGCCCGAAATTCCAAGTCACTGACCCACTCTTAATTCTAGAATCTAGCTATTTGGAGCAAAAATGGATGACAGAGTGACAGTCAAGCTTGAAGAAGAGACGCCGGCGCCGATGGAAGGGCTGCACGAAGTGGGTCCGCCTCCGTTCTTGTCGAAAACGTATGATATGGTAGAAGACCCTTCCACTGACGAGGTCATTTCTTGGAGTGCGGCGAGGAACAGCTTCATCGTTTGGGACTCTCACCAGTTCTCCACAACCCTCCTTCCTAGGTATTTCAAGCACAGTAATTTCTCCAGCTTCATCCGCCAGCTTAATACTTATGTGAGTACCCATTTTATTTCAATTCCCCCTTTTTCATAATTCAATCTTATTCCCTGTCTGAATTTTGTTCGGCTTTAGTTTGGGTTGCTGCTTATTTGTCTGATTAGTTTAATTTCAGCAATTTCGTCTGTTTTCGGTTAAGTATCTTCAGATAAGAATGCTGACTCTTGTTCCTGATCTTAATTGTGGTTGGCATTATCATCTTCCAGTACTATGTTGTCTAGTTAGATTCCTGCAAAGTAGAAATGATAGGTGGTTCTTTTGCTAAACTGATGAAATTAATGTTAATTTTATCAAAACTTAGTAGTTATAGCCTTCGAAGTGTTTAGATTTTAAGCATTCTGGGTTCTTTCAATGTATTATTTCAAAACTGTGATTTTATTTTTTAAAAATCAAAGTGGAGATCTTTGGTTGCAATGTTTTTAAATCTACAGTTTTTCTGTGGGGAGTGGAATTGCTGCCTTTTAACAATGATTTCTTCAAAAGTTTCAACTTTATAATGCAATAATTAGATGAGATGAGATGTAAATGCATAGTGGTTCTTGGTTTGTTCACAATTTCTTTCAAATTTGTTCACAATTGTAGTCGAGAGTTACACTTAGTTGCTGCGCAGACGATAGATCCTTGGTGATTCTGATGACTTACGATGATACTGGCAATTTTATCAGTGGGAGAAAGAAGCAAAGCTAGGTTACTTCTTCTGTTTTGAATCCTTATTTGTATAACACTTTGAACCCTATCCTATTTGATTGTATCTCTTCTATGAGGATTCTTAAAAGATATTGGCTACGTGCAGGGTTTTCGGAAAGTGGATCCTGAGAGATGGGAATTCGCAAATGAGGGTTTCCTCGGAGGGCAGAAACATCTTCTGAAAACGATCAAGAGGAGGAGGAATGTTGCACAGAGTATGCATCAACAAGGAACCGGTCCGTGTATTGAAATAGGGTATTTCGGTATGGAAGAAGAGCTAGAGAGACTAAAGAGGGATCGGAACTTGTTGATGACGGAGATAGTTAAACTTAGACAGCAGCAGCAGAGTTCCAGGGCTCAAATCGTGGCGATGGAGGAAAGAGTAAGGAACACCGAGAGGAAGCATCAGCAGATCATGAGTTTCTTAGCCAAGATTTTCTCCAATCCTTCGTTCTTCCAGCAATATCTCGACAAGTATGCCCTGAAGAAAGATCAGAGACGTGTTGAAATCGGTCAAAAGCGGAGACTGACAATGACACCAAGCGTGGAGAATTTGCAGGATATTGATTCGGTTGCTATGCAAAGTAGCCAAGAGCCCGAAGTAGACCTCGAGATAGAGACAGACGTGGGTAGCTTGATATCCGCTGCACTGGACAATGAATCAAGCAGCATTATGAATCAATCTTCCTTTGCATCAACAAGCGGTACTAATATTACCGAGGATCTTGTGCCCGATAATATCTGGGAGGAGCTGCTCGGTGAAGGACTCAGTAATGAAGCAGAAGTTGATGTGGAAGTCGAGGATTTGGTTGCAGCAGCGGAGACACCCGAATGGGGTGATGACTTACAGGATCTTGTAGATCATATGGGATATGAGGATATCTAAAGCCAAATCCTTGAAAGTTTCTGGTCTCTACATCACTGTTCACATTCTTTTTGGTATGCATTGTATTGCCAATATTTCAACTTTGGTCTCTTGTAGCATTATGTGGTGTTGGCAAGAAGACCAAACATTCATTTTGTCTTGTGTATCATTTATATATTAAGCTTTGTTTTCATTAATTGTCTTCTCTCCTTAAATTTTGCAGGTTAGGACTTAGGAAGCTAGGAAAATGTTATTATCAAATTTTGAAGTCCAAAGTAATATCAGATGAACATCTCATTCATTCTCTAACTAATATCAGATTGACTCAGACCAAAGCAAATGTTGTCAGCTTTGGGCTTACCCTTGGGTATTGGAAGGAACTGCAAGGGGTATTCTCCTTCATTGAGGCTAAGATGAAACAAAGATTTTATCTCGAGCAGGGAAGGAGGTTTTACTTAAAAGTGTAGCACAATCTCTTCCTACTTATGAGTCTTTACTTACTCCCGGTGACCTTCTGTGAGCATCTAGAGTGCATGATGAATAAGTACTGGTGGCAGTCGAGTCAAAATGGAGAGGGGGGTATGAGATGGTTAGCATGGAACTAGATAACCCATTGTCTGTTGTTTCTCGACTATATCAAGCAAGACATTTTAATGGGAAATCTTTTTTGGAGGCAACCCTGGGAACTAATCCCAGTTACTGTTGGCACTCTATTCTTGCAGGGCAGGATGTGTTGGTAGAATTGGTGATTCCCGGATAAGGATCACCCCTACATCCAAACTCCAGTTTCAGATGTTCATGGTGATGCAGTGGTTGAGGCTTTAATTGATCTGAATACTGGTGATGAGTTGTTCATACAAAGAGAGATGTCGATCTGATTCTCTCCTTGCCTGGTGCGAGAGAAGTAGAAGACAGATAGTGCTGGGGGGGATATATTCGGTTTGCCATGGTTATCGTTTACTTAGTGATAACGGGTGCTACTGCTTTCAAGGCCTGGAAAAAGTTATGGAGTTTAAAACTGCCTCCGATCGAAGATCATGGCGATGTGCAAGAGCAATCCTACCTACTGTCGTATCTCTTGCACTAGCTAGAGTTGCGAGTTATCTTCCTGGTCATCTCAGTTATTTTTTTACTATTTCTACTTGTATTGAACACTTAATCTTTTTCATGCATTAAAAATATTTCAATAAACTCAAGAAATTATGGCCCTGTTTGGTAAAATAATTAGTTTATTAGTCAATTTTAGTTTGTTTGACCACTATTAGTTGTTTGATTTGATTGAACAATTAATATGAGTGTGATTAATTTGTTTTTTGTAATAGCTTATTGTTCCAAAATATTAAAATTTAAAAAGTTGTTTAAAATAATTTTTTTGATAAACTTTTTGAGAAAGTCATTTTTATATGTAATCAGTTATCAACTAATAATTAATTTACCAAATATCTTTCTATAATAATCCACTAATGTTATCTTACTAATCAAATCTATTAACTTGATTAAGTAACAACTATGGAGTATTTATCAACTAGTTAATGAAGTTTGGTTGAAGTTATTTTCAATTCAATAATATTATACTATTGTATTAAACACAGAAAATTAAATTTAAAAATTATAAGAAAATAAGTACACAAGAAAAAATTAGTTTCAACAATGAATTTAAATGGGATAGATGATGAATATGTCTGTCTAATCTTGTGTGATTTCAAGAGGTGGCCAGAGTGTATTTCTTGCCTGTAAATGCTTGAAACTTGTCATCTTCTTTCTTAGGCTCTTCTTTTCTATCTTTATCGCCATTCTTAGATAGTGATGGCTGATTGCCATTTTCTCCTTTCTCTGTTTCCAAGACTTTGCCATCCAGTGTTCTCCCAATGCCAGTGAAGGGCTTAAAACGCACAATTTCTTCTTCTTCTTTGTCTTTATCATCAGTTTTATGTGGCTTTTCGGGTTCCTTGTAGTCCAAGGGTTCGTCAAAATCAACGTTGCAGTCGGTGTCGATCACGCTAACACCATCGGACGGTCGAGTTTCCACCACGTCAACCTTAAACGTCTCGCCGTCGTAGCAGACGACGACGGTGTCTCCGGCGGTCAAACACGAGTGTTCCCTAAATGTCGCCTCCAGCACTGCTTTAGGGTTCTTGACTTTGTTAAGAAACTCCGTACTGTGAGGCCGCAGCTTCAAGTAGTCCCCCTTGGGCAGGGCAACGTTGGCGACGGTGACGAGGTCGCCTTCGTTTAAACCTAGGTTGTTCATCATCCATTGTGGCATGTACACGAACCCTTCTTCCGCCGAGAACTCCAGGACGCCGCAGTGCGACGATTTCTCGCCCAGATTATTATCGTAGCTTGCGATTCGGAACTGCATGGGATAAGAGACGTCCATGTCTATCAGAAGGGGCAGCGCAGACACCGGCATGGTGATCCTGCCGCCGGTCTCTAAGGAAGGCTTTCCCACGGCGGAATACGAGGAGCAATAGTATGTTTTATCGAAGCTCCAGTGTTGTGCACTATGATCATTGGAATCCCACTCCCTCTCATAATGATTGGATTCCCATTCATCCCACTCCCTATCATGATAATTGGATTCCCATTCTGGGTCATGGTCATTGGAATCCCATTCCCTGTCATGATAATTGGATTCCCATTTTGGGTCATGGTCATTAGAATCCCAATCCCTATCATGATAATTGGATTCCCATTTTGGGTCACGGGCATTGGAATCCGGCTCCTGATAATTGGATTCCCACTCAGCGTCATGGCCATTGAAATCGCCCTCATGGGTATTGGAATCCGGCTCCTGATAATTGGATTCCCACTCAGCGCCATGGTCATTGGAATCGCCCTCATGGACATTGGAATCCGGCTCCTGATAATTGGATTCCCATTCAGCGCCATGGTCATTGGAATCGCCCTTATGGGCATTGGAATCCAGCTCCTGATAATTGGATTCCCATTCAGCGCCATGGTCATTGGAATCGCCCTTATGGGCATTGGAATCCAGCTCCTGATAATTGGATTCCCACTCAGCACCATGGTCATTGGAATCGCGCTCAGCGACATGGTCATTGGAATCCCACTCTGTGTTATGGTCATTGGAATCCGGCTCTGTGACATAGTAATTGGATTTCCACTCTGTGTCATGGTTGTCATGGTTATTGGAATCCCACTCAGTGTTTTGGTCATTGGAATCCCAATGCGTGACATGGTAATTGGAATCCCTCACTGCACCATGATCATTGGAATCCCTCATTGCACCATGATCATTGGAATCCCACTTCGTGACATGATAATTAGAATCTCTCTTCACACTATGGTCATTAGAATCCCAGTTTGTGCCCTGGTCATTGGAATTCCACTCCACAACATGATCATTGGAATCACACTCTTCGCCATCATGATTATTGGAATCCCACTTCGTGCTATGGTCAAAAGAATCTCGCTCCATGGATGTTGATTCTTGATGAAGATTATCAGTAAATATTGGAGTTATGGTGCCGATAGCATGGACATGGATTTATATAGGCCATTGGAATACCTGTTCCTATTTTGATTAGGATTTGGACTGTGTATATTATTTATTAAAATTAGGTTAGGAGTCCTAATAGGTATATGAGTTGGATTAACATGGACTCTTTCTCCCAAAGTTGGATTAACATGGACTCTTTCCTCAATAGTCAATACTACTTTTTTTTTATTTTTATTTTTATTTTTATTTTTAAATAAGAATAATTACGTGAATTTAGGTAAAGCAACACTAGTATATGCTTTGCTTTCAAGTTTCAATAATGGCTGGATCCCAACTGTAATTTTTTTATTTTTATTTTTATTTTTATTTTTAAATAAGAATAATTACGTGAATTTAGGTAAAGCAACACTAGTATATGCTTTGCTTTCAAGTTCAATAATGGCTGGATCCCAACTGTAATATTTGAACTAAGTAAAATTTTGAAATAATAATATTTTTTGTACTAAAAGTCAATGTAATAATCAAATACAAAATAAATTGAATGCAATAATAACATGGTATGAATATTAAGAAGTGATTTTTATATCTATAGAGAACTGAAATATAACATTATTCTATTATGAACTGATGACTCATCAACTCTAAATACAAATTTTTTGATCAAAGTCTATACTATATATAAAAATAAAATCTTGAACTTTAACTTACCGTCCAATTCCTAATAAGTCTCGCTTTCTAATAAAATATATTGTTTTCTACTTTACTATTCGTACTATAGTTATAGGTTAAAATTTTTATTCTAATATATTATAAAATAGTGTAATACAATTCCTATTCTAATCTATACTATATATAAAAATAAAATCTTGATTTTTTAACTTCTCGCCAAATTCCTAAAAAATCTCTCTTACTAATAATATATATTGTTTTCTACTTTCCTATTCGTAATATAATTCTAGGTTAAAATTTCTATTCTAATATTATAAAACAATGTAATACAATTCCTATTCTAATCTATATACTTCTATATACTATATATAAAAACAAAATCCTGAACTTTAACTTCCCGCACAATTCCTAAAAAATCTCTCTTACTAATAACTAGTATTTTCACCCGTGCGATGCACGGAATGGAATTGTTGCAATATATTAAGAATATTTAAATCAATAAAGAGTTCATTTCACCAGAGGTCGCTTATCTTTCTTGACAATTCCAAATTTAATCCTAGACTATATTTATTAATTATTAAGATTTATTCTATGTTATAATTCTTAAGTTAATATTCTTACTATTATTATTAACACTTAATTACTTTTAAATATTATTTTTACCACTTATATTATTATTATTATTATTATTATTATTATTATTATTATTATTATTATTATTATTATTATTATTAGTTTCTTTTCAATATTTGTTAGTATATAATGGTTGTGAGGCACACAATAATAATATAACCATAATTAAATATTCTTATATTGTATTCCGTGAGTCACAATAATAATATAACAATAATTAAATATTCTTCAAGGATTTCTATTACCAACATTAATTATTCCCTAATTTATCATAATTAAATAATTTGACCAATTATAAAGAGAGATTATCAAATAATGCACGGGACAAATTTTTAATTAAAAAATTTAAAAATCCATTAATAAAACATAAGGTTCTCATAGTTTTTTCTTAGAAACTATTTAATAAAGCATTTTTTTTATAGAAATTGGTGCGCCAAACCGCCTACGGCAGTTTGCGGTGGATAGATCTCGAAAAAATACGCGATTTCAAAAAAAATATTTGTCCAATACGGACAACCGAGTCAGAAGTTATGCCT